TAATAAATTTTGTTCTTATGCTTATATTATTGATTCATATGATATGTGACATTTATAGATGACTACTCTACATACACCAAAGTATACTTAATCAAACAACTCTAGTGCACCAAATAACCTCTGAGAAAATATATACTTATAGTGTGTTTTTTTTTAAGAAAAATGGTAAAACTCCCTCCGAGTTATGGAGAGGTTATGAACCTAATCTTAAATATCTAAGAGTGTGGGGGTGTTTAGCTAAGGTAATGTTATCTAATCATAAGAAAAGGAAAATATGTTCTAAAACTTCTGATTGTATGTTCTTAGGCTATGCAGAACATAGTGTTGCCTATAGATTTGTTCTCAAAAGTGATGTAATTGAGCACAATACTATAGTGGAGACAAAAAAATATTGAGTTCTTTGAACATATTTTTTCTCTTGAGGTTAGTGAGACACCTAAACAATCTATAGAGATTAATAGTGATAAAATATATGAGGATTTGAAGAGAAGTAAAAGACAGAGGAAAGAAACCTCCTTTGGAGATGATTTCTACACTTATCTAGTTGAAAATGATCCCATGAGTTTTTTAGAGGCTACTAGGGTTCCTGATGCAATACATTGGGATAAGGCCATTAAGACTGAAATTGATTCAATTAAGAAAAACAATACTTGGACTTTGTTATATTTGCCTAAAGGAACAAAACCTATTGGTTGTAAGTGGATCTTTAAGAAAAAGTATCATTCTGATGGATCCATAGATAAATATAAGACAAGATTAGTAGCAAAGGGTTTTACTCAAAAATCCAACATTGATTATTTTGACGTCTTTGCCCCTGTGACTAGGATTTCCTCTATTCGAGTTTTGTTAGCTCTAGCAGCTATCCATAAACTAGTTATACACCAAATGGATGTTAAGACAACCTTTTTTGAATGGTGAATTAGAGGAGGAAATTTATATGACTCAACCTGAAAGGTGTGTTGTTCCAGATCAAGAGAACAAAGTGTGCAGACTTTTAAAATCCTTATATGGATTAAAACAAACACCAAAACAATGGCATGAAAAACTTGATAGTGTTCTACTTTGTAATAGTTTTTCAACTAATGATGCTAATAAATGTGTGTACTCTAAATTTGATAGTGGTGAATGTGTCATTATATGTTTATATGAAGATGATATGCTAATATTTGGTACATGCATTGACATTGTCTCCAGAACTAAGTTGTTTCTGGGATCTAAATTTGAAATGAAAGATACAGGTGAAGTCAATATGATTTTGGGTGTTAAAATCATAAAGAAGGGCGATAGTATTTTTCTATCCCAAGAACAATATATTGAGAAACTTCTTAGGAAGTTTGGGTGTTATAACGCCAAATCAGTGAATACCCCTTATGATGCTAACTCTAAGTTAAAGAAAAATAGAGGAAACTCAATCTCTCAACCTCAGTATGTCCAAGCAATTGGGAGCTTACTGCATTTAATGAGTTTTTCTAGACCTGACATTGCTTATGCAGTAGGTAGACTAAGTATGTACACTCAATCTCCTAATCAAGAACATTGGAATGCACTTACAAGACTTATGAAATACTTAAGAGGTTCAATGGATTATGTCATTAAATATAGTAGATTTCCCACTGTACTAGAAGGGTACAGTGATGCTAATTGGATCTCTGATTCATATGAGACAAAATTCACTAGTAGCTATGTATTCACACTCGGGGGTGGTGCGATTACATGGAAATTAGCCAGGCAAACAATTATTGCAAAATCAACAATGGAATCTGAATTTGTTGCTCTCGAAATGGCTGGTAGTGAAGTTGAGTGGTTGAAAAACTTCTTAGTAAACATTCCATTAGAAATGAAATTGATCCCGTCTGTATCAATATACTGTGATTGTCAATCGGCAATAGCTATAGCAAAAAATAAGAACTACAATGGAAAAAATAGACATATATAGTTGAGACATAATTTAGTGAAGCAGCTGCTAAAGAATGGAACAATTTCTATTGACTATGTCAGAACGGAATCTAGCATATCCTCTGACAAAACCCTTAGCGAGAAATATGATTTTAGAAACATCGAGGGGAATGAGAATTAAGCAACTTGCAAACAAACAGGTGATGGTAACCCAACCTTTGTGATTGGAGATCCCATGAATAAGGTTCATATGGGTAAAAACAAGTCACTTGTTAGTTCTGCTAGCACTAAAATTGATTAAAATCAATTATGTCAATTCCTATGGTGTATATGTGAAAGTGCTAGATATTGCATCATTGAAAATTCTATGTGGTGTACGAATTTTAGTCTAAACAAAGTTTTTAAACGATTTCATATCCATTAAGGGTGGTGTATGATTTGCAGCATACGCTTGATGAAGTCACCTATATGAGTGTCGAGTAGGGCCGCTTGTATGAGATCTTTGCAAGATTTCTAGAGCACTCATGAATACCGGGCACGCACATGACCTAGTAAGCGATAACAACAAGAATTGTGGGGGTGTATTGTGATTATTAAAACCACTAACACACATTAAGTGTTTTAGCTCATATAGTTTGCTACACCAACTACATTGTGTGTTAAGTTTTTTAGTCTAAGACTGATTCATATAACTTGTTATACCAGCTCTGATGCATTACATCTTATATGAGACCCAGGATTTTCTTCTTTTATTTCTTTTATCCTTTTGTTTTGCAATATGTGAGGGATTGTTGTAAATTAAGGGGTATTGCAAAACAGAGAACGTGTTCTCACACGTTGCGCAGAAAATCGTTTCAGAGCACGTGTTCTCACACATTGCAGAAGATTATTTCAGATAACGTTGCAGAAGACTATTTCAGAGAACGTTAAAGAGAACGTTACAGACCCACTACTACCATAACTGTTACAGACTTTCTCTTATAAATAGAGACCACTTCACACTCTTCAGCACACACCTCTCTCATCTTCTCTTCTCTGGTCTTCTTTTTGTGTTCTTGGGTTAATTTACTCTTTTGAGAATTTCTTGCTAGTTTCTGAGATCCTTGGATATTATGAGAAGTTTTTGTTGTATCTTGGAGGACTTGCGTAATACACCGCATATAAGTATTTAAGGGTTGTGATTATACACGTAAGTTTGTTCGTATCTCTGTCAGCTTTTACAACGATATCATCACTCAACTATATCTTCAACAAGTTAATTGTGATTTTAGTCTATTTTTATTTGAAAAAAAAATATTCGGTCAGTTTTAATTTCTCAGTTTAACAACTGGAAAAGAATTAACTATAAAAATTTATAATTTGAGTCCTTCAAAAAATTTAAGCAGTTTACTCTCATAAATAACTTATTCGTGTGTTTAGAATCTTGGATACTTTAAATTGTTAAACTTAATAATTAATTCATTGCATTTTCATATCATTTGAATTATTTCATACTGATAATCCGATGAAGAATGAAAACAAAACACAAATTACGAGAAAATTACGTGAAATAAAGTATTATTTTACACTTAGATAAGCCATTGAGGATATGGTCTCTATTTCAAATAACAATTTTCATATTATATAAAAGTGGCAACTATAATTTTCGTACACGTGACTCGATTTACTATTAAGTACAAACCTTGCTTATAAAAGTTAAATAAAATTGAAGCCTACTCTTATCTCCTTCAAAACGAATATGGATATACTAATTACTAACATTAGATTGGTCGGTCTCATGATAATGTTAAGGTCAGAATTCAGAGAGTTTTGAATTTGAGATAAATAAATAAATGTGTTAATCCTATTCAAATCAATAAAATTTACTTTTTCAAAACTTGAAATCTTTATGTTAATCTCGATATTTATTTTAAAATAAATAAATAACAATTATTCTGCAAATATTGAAAAAAATTAGAAGAATCAGCATTGCGGTCTTTACTTTTTAGGAAATTCTTTCAACACAAGTCTGTAACAAGCATTACATTATCTATAACTACAAAAGGTAATTTTAATTTTAAAATGATATAAATAACAAGAAACAATAATCAATAGTAGTTTTGGTAAGAGTAACAAAAGGCAATGGATGAAAAAAGACGAAGAATATAAACTTCCGTTGAAGAGATCAATTTTCTTAAGATTGTTTGCACTCCTTGGTGTAATAATACCAAAACCCTGCGTAATCACTAACCAATATTTGGTAATATAATCATTTAATTAAATACAAAATTATGTTTTAGACTGTATCTTCATGGAAACAAGATGTTTCAAATGAATGCTTTTTTCTTAATTTGCCACGTTTACTTTATAAGGATTCTCATTATAAAAGTCTAAAATAATTTTAAACGAGGATTTTTCTATGAAAATGATAAGATAATCTTCTAAATCTTGTTTGTCGAAAGAGTTCACATAATAGAAAAAAAGTAGAAAGGAACAAAAGACATCAAAGTTTTTGTTCAATTTTTGTGCCCATTGGGTGAGACAGCTCAATTGCTTGACAAAGAGAAGCTTCAGCAAATTTGGCATTTTTCCTCGTCATAATACACACCTTCCCCCACAAACAATTAAGAGTTCACTATAATACAAAGGGTTAGTAGATACATCTATCTCATTCAATCAGAAAAATTAAGGGGTCCAGCCCGTACATGATTAGATGCAGGTCCATTTACAGATACATCAATTATTAAATAACCACAGTTAGGCCATAAATTGGCCCTGCTAGAGCTAGAAAATTGAACCAGACACACAAAATCAGCAAAATAAATTAAGTATTAGGATATTAAAGATTTGCATTCGTAGGCAACTTAAACAACGCCAGACATCAGGGATACAAGGTATGACTATGAGTGTAGTAGCAAGCAATACAAGGGTGAAAATCGAATGGTATAGATAGCACCTCAATTTCCTTTATTATGTCTATCTAGTATGGACATAGGGGAAACAAAAATATAGAACAGGACACATCATACGTATGTACAGGTATCACATGATCACTATGGCAGTGCTGCTCATAACAAGGGAAAACGATACTAGTACAGATAAAGAATGCTCATCAAGCTAAAAAATTAATCATCCTTGTAATCTTTGCAAGGTCTAGTTTCAAAACCACCACCTTCCCTCTCCTCCAATGTGTATGGCATGTAGGTACCCATGATTTTGTCCCACATAATGAAGAATGGCTGTGAGAAGTTGTACTTGTTGCCATATAGCTGATGGTGTACATCGTGGTAGGCTGAGTTGTTTTTGAAAAATATATGGAAAAGGTTTCCGGGGAGCAATAACCCACAGTGATCATCCACCGTTTTAACGGTGGCAAAGGAGAAAAAGAAGATGGAGGCTCGAGGACTCATCCCAGATATTAGGAAAGATAGAGCCCCACCAACAGTGTCATTCAGAAGCCCCTCAACAGGATGATTGTACAGAGCTCCAAAAGCATAGGGTGCAATGAGTCTGTGATGAAGAGAGTGGATATGTTTGTATAGGAACTTGTTGTGATGCATGTATCTGTGCATAAAGTATTGCCATGCATCCATTACAAGCATAGCAGTAACAAATTGTCTTGCTAAAGCAAGTAGAGAAGTACTCTGGCCGGTAGTATTCTGGTTATCACTTCCTGCCAGCTACACAATAACAAAAATCAATTACAATTTACTATCCAGAACCAATCATATGACCTCTATTAATCACAAAAGCTACAAGTGGATCAATGAGCTTTATTATAAAATTTTACACAAAAGAACACTCCACAGTTAGCAATTGTTTGCATGGCTCAAAATTTTTTTTTTTTCAATTTTAAAAAGGATGAACAGGTTGCAGTAACCTCTATAGTACTAAACAAAATCCTTTTTTACATTTTTTTGGGCTACTTACAAATGCAAAACTCACATTGTTAAGGAGGTGCCAATGGTATATCATTAGATTTAATATAAAATTAGGCCTTTTGATTTTTGGTGCAAGGCCCATGGCCTTTTTGACAGGTCCCCCTAGCAGATATATTTGAGTAACTGCGTTAGTACAATGATTTCTTACATTTACTTTTTTATTGTTTTGTATCATGTTCTTATCGTCGGGAGGATTCCTTATTCTCCCACCAACTGCTAATTCTTTTGTCTTAGTTAATTTCTAGTAGTATCAGAATTTTCTAATGACGAGGCCACAAGAAGCAATCCTACTAAGGCTAGATAAAACTACTATATGAACAACATAATTTTACTTCTAAGTGTTTTAATGCAAATATACCCAGAGCTCAGATAACCGTGCAATAAGCAAACAGTTTCTTAAGTCTATTTAAATAGTCAACTCCTTTGTTTTCCAACACACTATTTAAAAACTATTAAGTATAAAGCAAACAGTTTCATTAAAACATGTGTTTCTGTAGTCAAAGAGCAGGGGCAGACAGAATGGGGTGGCCCAAGAGGGCCAAGGCCACCCACCTTTAGCAATTCTTTCCCATTATCATATTCTTTTATGAGAAGTTACTCCAAAAGTATATACAACTTATATCGTCCCGGTTCATTTTCTTGTAATATAATAGTCTAACGTAATAATTTAATTTAAGTATTAGATTAAAAAATAAAAATAAATGATAAGATGAAGAGTAAGTGGATTCTTACTCTTCTTTTATTATATCATGTATAAAATATAATATGATCCCCTAATATCTTAATTCTATTTTATATTTAATATTTTAATTATAATATTCTATCTTTTAGATAATACTACATCTTTCTTTCATAATACGCAATACAATTATATATTTCTTCAGCTTATAAGAAACTATATTAAATTTCTTTCATAATACTCAATACTTCATATTTATTTATTAGTTAAAAAAATAACAGTGATCCTTATCCCAGTTTGACAAGGTTAAAAACCAAAGCTTCAAGAGTATTATTTAGTCTAAGATTTCCCTCGCCAACTTCTTCCAATGTCCTTTCTGGCCTCTCTCTTCTCTCTACCTTAACCGAATTTCTTTATCTTTTTTCCCAATCAGTCCAAGACTAACACCTACCACCCTAAAAAGTAACTTTTGCACTGGAGCTCAGCACACGTCACCTTCTTGGAGGAAAGAAAATCGTTTTGGCATATTTACTATCATTAAGAATGGCCACAAGAATAACACACTGAAGTATCTATAGCCACACTCTACCTTATGAAGTAAGCCTATGATAAACGTCAAACAACAATTTCAATCACACACGCACTAAACTTTCAACCTCTAATGGAGAATAGAGTATTTACTCACATATGCCAAATAGAAATCAAACCTTATCATGATCACTAATGATCAAAACATCATTAATACACACCATACTAGACCAACCACACATGGTCTCTGCAAACGAGTCTTAGGTGTATGGTGTCTAGCATAAACGTTTTGAGCAATTAAATATCTTTAAAGCTATGCAAGATTGACTTCATTAATGCATCTTCTCATAGAAACTCATTCACAAAAAAGAAAGCACCAATAAAAATGCAAACTTATCACACCTCAAAAAACATACCGCAAACATGAGGGTTGCAACCACGGCCTGAACTAATTGTTGGATGAGAACACCTTTAACCACAGCACCCTTCGACACCAAATTTTTTTCATCCTCTTCCTGCCTCGAATGTAACCGATAACTCTCAGCAAACGACCCCAAAACGACGTAAATCCCAGAATAAATCCAGTAAACTACTATAGGCACAAAAGTGCCTAACATCTCATCAGAAACCCCCAAATCCATTCCACCACCCCAGAAGAGGAAGAAAACAATTCTTTTCGTCGATTTGATTTAAGAACCACTCACCAGACCCAAAACTTGCATAAATTTCAGAGAATCAAGAAACAACAGGATCGGCACCAAATAAGAAACCCTAATTAAAACCGAAAAACTGAACCCTCACTCCTCTTGTTCCTCCAACCCCAAATGATTGATTGGTTCAGCCGGCAACCCCAATTAATATAACGACCCAATTGAATAGTGGTTAGGTACGTATCAGAGTTAGGGTCCCGTGCAGAAGGAAGATTCCAAAGGGAGAGAGAAAAGAGAAAGAAAATGTCGAAATTGTCAGGGTCGTGACTCTTCACGCTTTGGGAAGGAAAATATCGTGCGATCGTGCGCTCGGGGGCGTACAAGGTTGCGGTGGTTCCTAGTACGTGGCGAAAATCGGGTGCGGTTATGTGGTGAAACTGTTTTTAATTGGTTGGGAGTAGAGAATTAGTATGGATTCCTTTGCAGGGGATTCAAAACGTGGGCTTAATGGGGTTATCGAAACGACGCCGAGTTTGACCGGTTAAGGTGGGGAACTTGTTTTGAATGTGTGGCCGTTTGAGTTGACAGAGAGTCAGTCAGTTATGCGCGACAAATGACTGAAGGACAACCAGAATTCGGAACGCGATGCTCTTCGGTTTTAATCTTGCGTATAACATTTTTCAACTCAAAACAAAAAAACATGCTACCTCCAAATTAAGACAAGAGTTTAATTGTCACATGTAAAATAAATTCATTCAGTTATTAAACAGTTATCAGAATACAAAAACCATTTTAATTCTATGAATATGTAATTTCTATAGATATATAGACTGTACTATAAGTATGTAATTTCTCCTTTTGTTATAGATGAAGATGTAATTTCCAAAAATATATATTTTACATGTGTGTATAATTTTAAAGTTATTTACTATGTTTAACTTATTATAATATGTATCTTTTTTACATGTAATAGGTATATCCTTACATTTTGGTTCCCATTAATTTTTTTTTTTAATGTTTCACAATAACAGATGGAAGGGACGGGGACCCATATATATACAGAGTTTTTCTTTTAACAGGTTATAATATAACTTTTTAATAAGAATTTTAAAGATTTTTTTGTTAAAATTTTAAATATGTATTAGATAATTTGTGGAATAGCACTTAAGAATCAAAGTTTATGATTGTCTTTATATTCTTATTATTGATATGTTAAGAAATCTTTTAAAGATAAATATATAATAAATTAGAGTTTCATATTTATTAATGGACCTTAAAAATATTATCATAATGGATATAAATTAAAGATATTATTTTATTTTTAAATACTGCAAAACTGAATATAGATTTTTGTTTCATTTTTACTACCTTTTAGGATTATGTCTCCGAAAGTTAATGAATATAATATCGTTTGAAAATTGAAATTTATAATAGTTTATATATATTCTTTTTATTAACTCACTAAAATCCCTATTTTTTAAAATAATATTTAAATAAATTAAAATTTTAAAACAAACAATACTTAAATAGAATAATTTTAAATTTTATTTAAAAAAACATCATTAACAGAGATAAGAAGTCGAATCAAATATAATATATATATATATATATATATAATTAAGTATATTTAAATTATATTTACATTTTTATGTTATAAAAATCATTAATTATTGTACAATTTATATTATAAATTACTTAATAATACTTTTAATATTACTCATTAGTAAATTAAAATTTATTTTATCATATATCATTTGAACGGAATATATAATTTTTGTTACATATATCTCTAAAACTCAACTTATTTTTTTCATCCATTTTAACATTAATATTAATATTAAACATCATAAAACATTAAATAATTATTGTCAATACTTTTTTTATATTATTTAACGGCATACTAATTTTTATATGTATAATAAGAATGTAAACTCCCACGTAATAATATTATAATGGTGAAAAAAATTATTTATTAAAAAAATAAAATTAAAGAGAATAATTAAAATTTGTATACTTAAAATAAAGATATAAAAAAGAAAAGTATGTAAATAAAATAATAATAAAAAAGTAAAAAAATAAATATTTAAAATAGAACCATAAAAAGTGAAAAGAGAAAAAGATATAAAAAGAAAAATAATAAATAACAAATTAATTATTATAGTAATTATTATTATTATTTATAAAAAATATAATAATAATTTTTTATTTTTTTATTAACTTTTATGTAAGAATAATAAATAAATTTAGTTGGATAAATAAATTTAAAAATATTTTATTTAAATTTTTAAAATATATTATTTATAAAATTGATTTTCAGATAAATATTCATTTAATAAAATATTATTAAAAAACAAGTAAATATTTATTTAAAAATTATAAAAAATGTAAATACCACTTTATTAAAAATAATGAAAAATGTCAACTTTCAAATTAAAGAATATGCAATCAGTACAACTGTCATAAACATAATTTTCACTTTTAAAATATATTTTTTCTAAACTAACATTGATATAAACAATGTGACATTTATTCTGAGGATAAATGGGAAAAGATTTTTTTGATAATCAGTATTTATAAATATCTGATACATACTTTAAAATATTATTATTTTGATTAATGAAAAAAGAATAAATAAATAATAATATAAAAATCTAAAAATAAATTATTAAATAGATATTTTTATCGTTTTACGATTCAAAACATCAGCACTGATGATAAATTTCATTAAAACAACTTTTAGCCCTCTTAACGTTTATTTTTTATACATTAATTATAAATACTCCCTGCTTAACACGTCCGTAAAGTCGTATAGAATCATTATATGTCAATTAATGTCAGAAATCACGTTTCCAGCTATGTTATGATTGCTATCAAGATTATCATGTATGTCTCCGGGTATATCTATTCAAAATTCAATTACTGAATTAAAAAATAAAAATGTCAAATGGTTATGTCGAGTAAAGAGATGAATATATAGGAATGCATATACAGGAAACAGCTTCTTCACATAAGTAAATGTACAAACTATTGGCAACCCGTTTTGAAGTTAATTACCAATGAAAGAAGAAAGGAATTCAAGTCTGTACAGAGTTCTCTGTAAATTAATGCTTTGGAAATTCCACAAAAGACATACTTTAACAAAATTGAGCTATCTTCTAAACATCAGTAGATGTCCTCTTTCCACATCCGCTTTTTCATAATGTGCTGAACTTTTACCAAAATCATGTATGATCATACAACATAGCAATACCATCTCACATGGCCTCTAACTCCTGAGTATCGGAAGATTTCTTGATAAAGTTGAGACGAGTTTGTTTGGTTCGGTTACAAGGGACTACAAAAAGTGAAAAAAAATAAACAGGGTCAACCATCATCAATCTTTGGCTCTAAGCGAATAAGGAGAAAATGCAAGAGTTGTTTCAATACCTTCTGTCTTGTTCTGTTCATTGGATGTAACAACTGAAGATTTCCACTTCTCATAGTCACGTTTTTCCATTTGTTTGCGTTTTTTATAACTTGAAAACTGTATAAACACAAATGTTAGTAGGATTACATAGTAAATTTATAGCAACATAAAACTTGGAAAACACATCTTACAGCAAATTTCCAACCAAAATGCTAAAACGAATATACACCGTCAGATCAGAACACAATGGTGAGAGTAAAAAGAGCAACAGAGGGATTAATTAAAACGCATGGGATGGATCGTGCATTTAACCGTGACTATCATATCACTTTTTAAACAAAATACAAGATGAAAACCAGATTGTGGTGAACGTGAACGATCAGGGAAGCCTTTGGCGGGTTTTTCAATATCCAAGTCAGTGATTTAACTCTACCCTATAAGCTCCATGTCATGTCAGACACACTTGACTTAAATACCCGGTTTTAGTCTTGTGTTGTACATTACGCATCCACTATGTAATAGCAAGTGAAGCAAGAAATGAAGAAAGCTCCTCAATTGGATGTTGGATTTAAATTACAAAAAGACTTTGTTAACAATTAATCAATATATGAAAGCTATTTAAATTAGGAATCTGCATCTTTGTCTGGAAACTATAGTTAATGATTACATTAAAGAGAAACTAATGGATCAAGTAAAGTTTAGAACGATTGTATCTTTTTACTACTACATCATAGATTTATAGTACTGAAGACATTGTCACAAAATAATCTATGGAAAGCTATAATGGATGTGTAGCGTCAAGATATGATAAAAGCAAGACAAACTAAGCTTCATAAGTAGTGAAAAATAAATTTTAGGTTGAGCTACATATGAAAGAATTGCATAGAAAGCACATCCTTGGAATTTTATGCATAACTTAAGACAGCAATAAATGAGCTCCAATAAGAACAGTATATTTTTGCAATGCCTGTTTAAATTCCTAACTAAAGGTTTAAAAACCCTTTCACAAGGAGACCAAAATGTTTGTAAATTACAAAAAGAAACTAGACATAAGTACCTCTGGACCATCATCGGACAAATAACCTCCTTCCTCAGCTTTCCTCTTATTTGGCAAGGCATCAAGTAAATCTTCACAAAACGGGGGAAAAAACGCTTAATGCAAAGTGTATCTTAAAATAATGGGCAGAATTGTTCACATTAAGAAATGGATCATGATCAACAACCAAATAGGGAAAGGTTATACCTCGATTTGATTGCACTTCCCTAGCATCCTTCTTTTCCTTTGCAACCCCAAATACGTCATGACACAAATCCTTCATAGTAGCAGAAACCTACAGCGGGCCATTCACAACCCATTTAAAATCAATAACAACTCTAACCATAAAGAATTCAATAAAATTATCACAAATTCAACATTCACTAAACATACAGCCACTTACACTAGAAAACTCAGATTCAGATGTACCACAGAGCTCAATTAACTTAAGCTTGTCCACTTTGAGCTGCAAAACAAACACAAACACAACTTAAACCAAAGCAAAAGAAACAGTTCATGGCATTCCTTGCAATCTATCATATTGGGGGAAATTACAGATAAATGCACTCGATGTAATTGCAGTTATGGCTATTATACCATTACAATAACAGTAAAACAAATAAGATTGCAACAACAATTGTGGTGGCAAACCGCTTTGAAAAAGCCTCACTCCAAAACTACCAAATAATATTATAATTCTCATACAACTAACAACAATACAGTCAGCATCATTAGGTAATCACCTATAGCAAAATAATATATCAATCAGTTCTTCAAAGGTACCTTGTGTTTTTTAGCACATAAATAAAAAGCAACAGCGGTGAACACTGGACGCGTGAAATCAGCACTTGCACGACGAGAAGACGGCAAAGACGAAAGAAACCGATCCTTATATCTGCATGGAAATAACACACAGTTCAGCAACAAGTGAAGTATAAAGAGTGCCTTAGCATTTAATCAAACATGTGGCAGATAACTCACAGTTTGAGACCCTCACGAACGAGAGGAATAATGCGAACGCAACCGAACTGAATCGCCAATTCCCGCACGTCTATCTTCACCCTAGAAAACCAAGCAAAACCTTCGATAATAAAACTTGAAAAAAATAAAACAAGAAAGCTGAAAGAAGAGAAAGGGAAAGGGAAAGGAAACGAACTTGACACCAAGGCCGTTGTGGAGACAATTGTAGGATCTAATGTAAGCTCTTTCGGACATTCCGCTGAGCCTCACCGCAGAGGATCGGTCGAAGAGAACGCCGAGCCTCGTGGCTGCGATTTCCAAGCAAATTAGAGATTTCGCAACCTCGCCCTGGGAGAACCAGACAAAGAGTTTCAGAATCGAATTGAATAAAACGGAACGGAACGAATGAAAGAGAAAAAGACTTACGACTCCAATGACGGATGAATTGAACTGGACATCGCAGAGGCGACGGAGTTCGGAGGCTTTTCGGACAATGAGTTTGGAATTGGAGAGACCGAGCTTCTTGGCTAGCTCTGAAACGTCCATTTTAGGTTTGGATCCCAAATGCGACGCTAACTACCATTTGTTGTGTGCATTTTGAAGGGAATAGAGAGTGGGAAATGGCGGGAATAGGAGAAGGAGATCGTGGAATGGAATCCAATAGATTGATTATTGATATCGCCATTTGAATATTCGCGCGCGCAGTTTGCCGGGAAAGTTTCGTTTGGCGCCCTCACTGCTTCCCAAATCATTCTTCTTTGAAAATCTTCACGTAATTTTTTATTTTATGCAATATTAATGATATACTTCTTAATTTATGTAATATTACAAATATCACGTAACATTACAATTCAATATTCATCATTTTTATTTAAGCATCATTGACTTTTTATTTTTTATTTATAAAATTACATTGTATAATTATAGTAATTAAAGTTATTACAACAATTATATAATATAATTATTGGGAAAAAAATATTTGATTAGCTAAATTATAGGTTTATATAGCGGTACAACATATGGTATAATCAGAACCTCCTTTATTTAGTCCCGATTTATTTGAGTAAAATACTTATAAGATCATAGTATCCGTGTATACAAATAATATGAATAAAAATTATAAAATGAATTTTATGTTTTTCAATTTGGTACCAGAGCTTATAATTTATTTTTTTCTAAATCCTTAGAGATTTTAACTGGAGAGATGATAAAAAAACTAATTCCAGTGGTAGTTCAATCTGAAGGTGTCTTCAACGTAGGCATCATCTTAAATGAATCTAATTATGACGTATGGTCACAACTAATAAAGATGCACATTGCAGAGAGAGAAAAATTGTCCTACATTCGTGGGAAGTTGAAGCCTCCAACAGAGAAAGATGAGGGATATGAAAAATTGTATGCTGAAAATCAAAAAGTGAAAAGATGGCTACTGATGTCCATGAAACCAGAAATCATGAAAATGTATCTTCACTTACCCACTGCCCTCGATATTTGAAATGTTTTGTCAAAGGTGTTTTATGATGGAAGTGATGAGCTACAGGTTCAAAGGGCATTCACTACAAAACAAAATAATAGAACCTTAACTGAATATTATGGGAAGTTGGTTGAGATTTTTAGGGAATTGGACCATCGTGATAAAGTAGTCATGAAGGACCCTGATGATGTGAAGTCATATCAAAAGTCCATTGAAAGATTAAGGGTGTATATATTCCTTGTTAGATTGGATGATGATTTTGAGCAAGTTCGTGGAGAAATCTTACGCAAGGAAGTGACACCTAATTTAGAAGAATATTATGCATTGATCCGGAGAGAGACAGTCCAGCGAACAACGTTGAAAACAGAATATATGATTTATTATTCCACAGCTATGATGACAAAGAAACAACCAACAAATCATTACAACAAATTGAAGCAATCAAAAGATTTTAAAAAAGATAACTACAAGTGTACTCAGTGTAATAAGGATGGATTCACTAAGGAACGATGCTATGAAATCATAGGATATCCCGAGTAGTGAGATCACAGTCGAGCATCGAAGAAGAATTCAAAAAGAAATTCAACTGCTACTATTGTAACTGTTATTGAAAAAAAAAGGACGACAAATGCATGATGCTTGCTACAATTGTAGGTAATAATGATTTCAATGATAAGACTTTAATAAGCACATTTACTGTTCTGAATAATGCATGGATAATTGACTCTGCGTGTTCTGATCATGTGACTTTTGATGTTAGGCACATTAAAAATCTTAAACCTTCCTCAGAAAAAAATATTTCCACAGCCAATGGTAGTAAATTCATTATCATTAGAGAATGAACTGTCTCTATTTTAAGCAATTTAAACATTGATATTGTCCTTGTTGTTCATTGTCTTAAATATAACTTATTGTTAGTCTCGCAAATAACCAACTCTCTTTTATGTGTTGTAATTTTTGGGTCTGACTCTTGTGTTTTTAAAGACATTCAAACGAGGAAGACGATTGGTTGTATTACCTGGACCTGACAGAAAAAGATTCAAAGAGACATGGTCAAGTGCTAGCAACAAAAAGGTCTCAAGAAATAAGAAAAGGTGAGGATATTTGGTTATGGCATAAGCGTCTAGAACATGCATCTTTTGGTTACATAAATAAATTATTTCCAAATGTATTTGACCAAATAGACACGTCAACTTTTTATTGTGATGTTTGTGAACTTGCAAAGAGTCACAAAACATATTTTTCTTTCATTTCAAATAAAAGTTTTTTTCCTTTTATGATGATTCACTCTGATGTATGGGGTCCATCTAAGGTTACAATGTTGGGTGACTCAACGTGGTTTGTAACGTTTATTGATGATTGTTCTCAAATGACTTGATTATGTTTGATGAAGTCTAAAAGTGAAGTTGGAATACTATTTCAGAAATTCTGCAAAATGATTGAGATTCAGTACAAAGCACAATATCAAGTACTGTGCAGTGACAATGGAGGAGAATATATGCAATCAGAACTTCAACATTTTTTAGTAGCCAAAGGAATTATTCATCAGAGATCTTATCCAAATACTCCACAACAGAATGAGGTGGCAGAACGAAAGAATCGTTATCTATTGGAGGTAGTCTGATCTTCACTGATTGGAGCTCACATGCCAGTAATATATCGGGGAGAAGCTCTCACATATGTAGTATACACTATCAACCGAATACCGTCCAGGTCTCTTGAGTATAAAACACCTCTTCAATCACTTACAGATGCAGTATTAAGTCCTAAAATTGTTGAACTAACACATAATTTTTTATTGTGTTACTTATGTTCACTTACACAAACATCAGAGAAATAAGTTGTCTCCTAGAGCTAAAAGATGTGTGTTCCTTGGTTATGCGGATCACCAGAAAGGATATCGATGCTACAATCCACAAACCAAGCAAATATTTATTATTATAGATGTAATTTTTCATGAAACATTAATATATTTTTCCCCCGAGTCTGAAATTCAGAGGGAGAATTATTATGAAGTTCAGACTTTTGTTCCTCAAAAAATTGATATTAAGGTCAGATTGGAAAAAGAAAGTTACAAAGTTGTATCATGAGATCATGAAAGTGTGCAACAATGTGATGATCAACAACCATATAATGAGAAAGATTTTGAGCATGTTGAGATAAAAAATTTGCATGTTGATGCTGATGATATACCACATCAATAGTCCCCTCAAGAACCTAATACAAAAAAAAAAGAATTTTGTCAGATCGCGTCACTAGAGGTGTCACTAGAGGTATCTCTAAGCCTACTTACGATCCTGACCTCACCAATAAAACAAGATACCCTATGAGTAATTATATTTGTAACCAGAACTTGTCTAACTCAAATATCGCATTCATAAGTTAATTATCTATTATATCTATTCCTAAAAGTGTGCATGAAGCTTTAGCTGGCTCCAAGTGGAAGGATGTTATGAATGAGGAGATGAGATCCTTGTAAAGAAATAAAACATGAGAATTGGTAGATTGCTCAGTTGGAAAGAAACCAGTAGGATGTCGATGGATGTATATTGTGAAATTTAATGCAGATGACACAATTGAGATATTCAAAGCTAGATTAGTGACAAATGGGTACACACAAGCACATGAAATAGATTACACTGAAACGTTTGCTCCCGTAGTTAAAATTAGTACAATTCGAGTATTATTATCTCTAGCTGTAAACCTTGATTGGTCCTTACAACAATTTGAGGTAAAAAAATGTCTTCTTACACGAGGAATTGTCTGAAGAAGTTTATATGGAGTTACCAGAAGGATGTGGGATTCCGAATACACGTAGCAAGAAGGTATGCAAGTTGAAGAAGTCATTGTATAAATTAAAACAATCGTCACGAGCATGGTTTGATAGATTCACCAAGTCAATGCTTGCTTTTGGATATCAACAGAGCAACTAAGATTATACATTGTTTCTAAAGAAAAAGAAATGAAAGATTACAATTTTTATTGTCTATGTTGATGACATGATAGTTATGAGAAACAATCTAAAGGAACACAAGACATTGAAAGAGTACTTGACAAAGGAATTCGAGATAAATGATCTTGGTCCTTTGAAGTATTTTCTTAGAATTGAGGTCTCAAGATCAAAGTCAAATATTTTTCTCTCACAACGAAAGTATGTATTGAATTTACTGATAGAAACTGGAATGATAGCATGCAAACCATCAAATTCTCCAATTGAAGAGGGATTGAAGTTGTGCATTGAATAAGATAAAACCCCAACTAATAAGGGAATATATCAGAGACTTGTAAGGAGATTGATGTATCTCTCACACACCAGGCCAAATTTTGCTTATGCTCTTAGTGTGGTTAACTAGTTCATGCACAATCTAGGTGAAAAACACATGAATGCTGTTATACGGATTTTAAGGTACATAAAAGTTGCTATTGAAAAAGGAGTTATGTTCAAGAAGAACTCCAACTACAAGGATGTGATGATATGATACAAACCAACCAGTGGACCCAGACCCAATAAGGAAGGATGACCCAATAGTAAGGAAACGAGCAAGAAAGAAGCCAGCTTGGATGACTGATTATGTCTGCGGACAAAATTAGAAGATCTTGATATGCTCAAATTATGTCTGCGGACAAAATTAGAAGATCCTGATATGCTCAAATTAATTCCTGAAATTTCTGCTGCAAATTATTAGTTTAATTCCTGTTTTATTTCCCTAATTTTTGCTTGATTGTTAGCACCCAATTCCTTTTAATAGCTATGATGTAATCAAAACAGAACGGAATAAAAAGTTTTCAAGATCCTTTTTCCCCCAAATTCTATTATTCCCTTTCCCTTAATTTCTGAGGAGTGGACACTCACTCGAAGAGTGTTAAAACCTTTGAGCATTCTGCAGCAGAGTGTATCATGATATATACAGATGCAAATTTGGTAGGTGCTCTTGATGATAGAAGATCAACATTTGGATACTTTACATTTATAGGAGGTAATCTTGTCACATGGAAAAGCAAGAAGCAAAATGTTGTAGCTAGATCCAGTGTAGAAGCTAAATTTAGAGGAATGGTTCTTGGACTTTGTGAATGTTTGTGACTCATACTACTTCTCGAGGATTTAGGGTATGCACATACACGTCACATTTATTTGTATTGTGATAATAAAGTTACGTGCGACATTGTTCACAACCCTGTCCAACTTGATCGGATGAAGTATGTGGATATTGATAGATTTTTCATCAAAGAAAAGTTTGATAAAAATATTCTAGAATTATCAAATATTCGATCTGTAGATCAGCTGACAAACATTCTTACAAAAGCTGTGGCAAGTCAGATTTTTAGGAGATTAGTAGACAAGTTGGGAATATATGACATCCATTTACCAACTTGAGGGGAAGTGTTGGAATAAAGATATTTGATTAGTTAAACTATAAATTTGTATAGTAGTACAATGTAATAAAATATTTCTTTATTTAGTCCTGATTTGATGGAGTAAAATATTATAAGATTATAATATTTGTGTACAAAAATAATATGAATACAAAATTATAGAATGAATTTTATGTTTTTCAATTCTAATCAAAACAATCAATTGAATAAAACTCAACAATCATTTTCTATTCCTAAATTAAAATATGTCTCATATTTTGTTACTACACACAATGCACACATTCTTTTGGGAGTTCACAATCAAATTAAAACATTATGGTTATACTATTTCCTTTTTTTTCTAATTAGAATACATAGTCCTTAATAAATAATATTTTTACTCTTTCTCTTAGTCACAAACTAAAGTAATACTTTTTAAAATGTAAAAAACACTTTCCTGTATTATTAAAAAATGAAAAACAAAGTGATTACGAGATGAATTACAACACCATTTTCATATTATTTATTCTTTGATTATCTAAACGGCAAAAGTATTTTAAGTTTTAGAAGAAAAAAAAAGTTTAAAAACCAGGTCTGAAAAAATAAAGCTGGTTTCAAAACCAGTTTCGAACTAAAAATAAATTTAAAAATAAGTTTTAAATCAAACTGTAATTTTCAAAAGAAAAAACAATTTATCTTTAAATCCAAATTGAGTTTTGTTTAAAATCTATGATATACAAGCTGATTAAACAATAACTTAAATATTATTAAATGGTTTGTATAGTTGTGTTGTCTGTGTGTATTTAGATTAATAGTACTACTTATAAAAAAAATTGCCAGCGTCAAGGCAATTTAAACCTTGAATTAGGATCCTCAGGTTAGTTTTTATCATGTTCTTTTGTGGAAGCGAAAATATACAACAATTATACTGTAATGTAACTCGTTATTTTATTTAGGTTTTATAAAATTTACTTTCATATTTTCACGTCCATAACATTCAGGGATGTTTGTTTTATGTTGTTTTTTTATTCCCGTTAATGTGAAGATGAGAATAATATTTTCATGAGATTATGAAATATATTATTGAGTAATTTTAAGTGAAAATTATTGCCTATAATAACTATTTATTCCGCTACATTCTTTTATCTTTCTTTTTTGTTTTTGTTTCTTTAATTAAATAATCTTTTATTTAAATTATTATATATCAAACATTTTTTTTATATATAAATATCAGAAAATATGATTCGTGGAATCATATCTGAAACAATCATCTTCTAAGGTTGTCAATCTTACTGAACTTCTCATTTTACGTTGACCCCTTCAGCGTCAAATTTCTAGCGATTTATGGAAAATAAAGAAAAAAAAGTTGAATGAATGTCAGATTTGATGCATAAATGACAACTGGCATGCTCCTATCATCGTTGTTTTGTTCAATTCACAACGTGTACATATAAGGAAGCAGTTTAGCTTTCCTACAAACCAATGATAAAATGTTATTTCATTTTTTATTTTAAAAAAGTATTAAAAATGACAATTAAAAAAAAAGATGAAAATTTTTAATTAGTAGGAAACAAACTAAACTAAACAATTTAAAAAAAAAAAAACTAAGGCTTCTGCAGATCTATTTGATTAAAGTAAAAGATTCTAAACATATATCTTATAGAACAAAATAAAAGGCAAAGATATATCTTATAACAATTAATAAAAACACAAACACGGTTTCTAGGCTTGATCTATTGAGAAGCAATTACACAAGAGTTGCTTCACTTCGTAAACCATGAATCCTCTTCACATTACACCCTTTCACAAGGGATGGTATTGAGAGGTACAAATGGAGGACAAATCCAGTCTCCTTTGAAACGGATAACATCATTCTCGGTTCAACATATTATTTATCAAAACATGGCAACCAAGGTCATCATCATATCAGTGTTTTTGCATCATGCATTACAAATTGTTAAGGATGATTATTGATGAAATGCTAGCTATCAGTATGAACAAATCTGAGCTACAAACGACATCAGTTATGCTGAATTGAGAATGCGAATTTGGATATCGGAGAATGTCTTCACATCAATACCCCATAACCTGCTTTGACAAATAAATTAAATCATTAAGATGTAAAAATTGAACAAAAAAAAAATATCACGAGAGATTTTGTCAGTAAAAACAAGAAAGGTTCACTTCAGACAAACAGCTCTTACCAGCAATCAATCCCCACAGCATTGGCCCCCAATTTATCTGCCTTTTGATCATCTCCAATGTGTAAGGCTTTGCAAGCCTCTACGTTTACTTGGTCTAGGAAACGGAAAACATCGGCAGCGAGTCAATCAACTTAGCATTATTACAACAACAAAGGGTAGCATGAATAGTGCCATTTTCTCCCCCTTTAATTAGTTTGCAGCAATCTCAGAAATTGATCTTCTAATGTTTTGTTTACAGATAAATGAGGTGAAAAGTCATATCCACAAAAAAGTTAATTTGCGTGTGATCCATTTATGTATTACTATTTTATATAACACACTCTTAAGCCTACAGTTACTTCAAAATTTATGCATTTAAATTTTTGAGATTTTTTTTTTCATTTTTCCTTCTCCTATAATTAGTTTTGAAGAAATTGATCTAAACTGGTCTCTAGCAGTTGTATACTGTAGTTATCTCTTCAAAAAAGAATAAACAAGTGCTACTTGGTTTGGACTGTAATTATTTCAGAATATCTCTTAACTATCGAACACAGAAGACTAAAGGATGCACAATGAAGCAAAACAACAGCCTAGATAAAAGAAGGTATTTTAATTAACAACTCAAGGAAAAGATCTACCATAATCCACAAAAAAGCCAAAAGCAGATTACAAAGATGAAAGATACTATGACTTGTAAACAAGTAATTGTCCTTTTATATATGCTGATGATAGTGAGGAATGCTGGGCAGAAGGAGGGAGAGGGGGTAATGTAAAATTGAATTTATTAAAGTAAAACTAATCATACATACCCAGAGCAGCTTGGAATATTCTTGAATCAGGTTTTTCGTATCCGACCTCTGATGATATAATGACAGCATCAAATCTGAGGTGAAAACCAGAAAATGATACATTGAATGCTATGTATGCATAAGAATTTGTGAAATTTCTTCAATTAAGGTTCATCAAGATATCTTAGATAACACCTCCTGAAAAAAAAAATTTCAAAATTGCTAGGTAGTTAAGTGTCAGCACACTGAAGAAATGAGTTATACTCACAGATTTAAGACATTAAGATCCTTCAATAGCTTCCTTAAGCGGTTGTCAAAATTAGATACAACAGCAATCTTAACTGCGTACTGCTTGTCACGTTAGTAAGGACCAACTTCAAAGTAAGTAGATCAATGATAGCGTTAAGTTGTTAACATTGTTACTTGTTCCAGATAACAAGAAATAATTGTTACCTCCAGCATCCTTGAGAAGAGTAATTGTTTCATAAGCTCCATCTGGAAGATGCCAAGCATCACCTCCTGCATAGTACTGACACAAGCAAAAGAACACTTAAAGTTCAGAAACAAATGTGGCTCATATTACTACTTTGAACACAAAGGCCAGTAACTATTAAAACACTCTCCTGCCAATCTACTTTTCCTGGCTAAGTAAGCTATAAAATCTGGAAAAAACACGAAAAACCAGAAACTATAACGTCAAAACCTATATAGACCATAATATGGTCATACTTCAAATGATTTGGTGCGCAATTTTCTTTAAATCTTTTTAATAGGTATAAATTGATTTTTTTTCAAAAAAATTATATTGTTTCACAGATATAATCAGCATAAATTGGAATTGAGGTGATGGCAAATAGAACAGTCCGCTGCTAAGAAAGGCTACCTCATAAACTTCCTCAAAATAGTCGTCATCTCCACAACCAGTGGCTTCAGAAACTACAAGTTTCCAAAATGGCCTCCCATCTCCCTGTAGTGAAGTAAAAAGTGTATATTACTGCCATCCCATTTGCAAATTAGATGGTTTTCTGTTTGCATGTCTTGTTGAAAGAAATTAAATATGTTGTTGGTAAATGTGTAAATAAATGGAAAAGCAAAGTGACATCAATATCCTGTAATGGCCTACAACCCAAAGTTGGTTTCAAAGTCACACCATAGTCGACCAAGTAGTCAATACTGTAAACTTACAACATTTTTCTTTTTCTTTCCCTTATAGACAGCAGCAAGCTTGCCAGTATAGTTCATTACATTTTCTAAACACCATCTTGCGAGTGTTACAGTGCAATAGCTCAATGAGAACGACTTAAAGAGAGTGATTGGAATCAAGGATGCAGGAAAGAAAGCCATCAAAACTTACTAGGCAAACATTATGAGAAAAATGATCAAAGGTAGGGCATAAACCTGGTAGCGTAGCTTTTCAGGCCACGGAGCAGCAAATACTCTTTTAAATCCTTGCTTTATCTTAGCTGGATCCACAATCACACCTGAAGACAGACATCACAGACCAGTATATCCAGACTGATAAACATCTTAAACATAGATGGAAAATGTTAATAATATTAATTGATAACCTTGTAATAAGAGGAACATACGTTAGGAGAAGGAGAAAAGGTTTTTAACACATCTTTCAAACACGTTCTTTATTATTGGGCTGAAAATGATTGGAAACCACAGTCTTAATTCACATTTAATAAATTCAAACTAATGATTCTCATAAATTTTCACCAATGATATGTTAGTCAGTATGTTAAAAGGGGTATTCTCTTTGGAGAAAACATCTATTTGGGTCTTACAAAAACAATAGTGTCATTCCACTAGCGATTACAATAAAAGAACAAGAAACACACCATATTTAGATCCAATAGCGGCATAAGTGTCCTCAACTGGCTTTGCCAATTGCAAAAGGGTGCCCCCAGCATCCAACAACAATGCATCATACGCCTTCTTCCCACCAGTACCTTTGGTGTTGCCAACAGTACACAATTGAATTCAGTATCGTCAAATAACAATAACATCAGCGACTACATCACATCTTACATAATTTTTGGAGCATGCCAGGAAACGGGTAATGAGTGAAGGAAGGAGGTTACTTAACTTACCTTTCTTGATGGGCATTGAAGAAATTGGTTGCGACGAATTGTAGGGTTTCGATTTGAGAGCTCTGAACAGAGCGTTGGCGTGGGAGCATCTCATCAGGGTAGAAGTCATCATCTCATTTCTCTTCTCTTCCCCGTCGTCAAGCGCCAAGCTATAATTTGTAAATGTGAACAACCTACCGAACCGAATCCCAGAATAATCGAACGGAAAGACAACCCACAACACCACTTCAGCAAAAAAAATATTTCTGAATGTGACATTATAATCCCTATAAAATTAAGATAAATATATTCTCGTGATCAGCTAAGCTCTGTGGAGGTTCTTACCGTCGAGTTTCATGAATTTTTCTTTTCTTATTTTCAAAATAATTTTATCTTAATTTCACTCGTTTTTTATAAGTACACCTATTTTGCCATCTAACATAAGAGGTTCTCGTTAAGAAAAGTTAGGCTCAAATTTTATATTTGAAAACTGACTAATTAATTATTTAATTAAATAAAATAATATCTAACTTCGTTTTTTTTTAAATGACTCCCGGTGAGCAATTTTTGTGCATGTTAATTAATAGTAGATTTAAAATTTCAATTCTTGTTTCTACTAACCAATATTTTCAAAACGCCAGTCAAACAAATAATAAAATACAAATTAATAGAATATTTCTTATATTGAAATGCAATTTTTAATAAAATAACTATTATTATACTGAAAATAATTTTTTTTTGTATAAAAGTACTTAATATTTTTTAAAATACATGAATTAGTATATTGCATACGTTTTTTTTAACAATTGCATTAATCAATAGTTTGTATAACTAAATACCCTCTTAGTAAAAATACTAAAAAAATAACTATGCATTTAATTTAACACATAATTATTCTAAATATTTTTCTAACATTTTATTTTTATTTAATATTTTCTAACAAATTAAAAATATTATTAGAATAATTTAACATTATTTATATAACGATTAGTATGTAACCAATAGTTATTGTTATCAATTAACATCTATAGTGGTGCAAATCTATAGCATATTTTTTAAGTCAAAACCTGAATAATCATTTAGTTATTTAATTTACATAATTTTAGAATTATTTTATATAAACTCAGTTAAAAATCTCATTTTATTTTTCTTCTTAAATTTTGTCTTATAAATGCTTACTAAAATGTTTAACTACACAAATTATACTTTTACTTTTATAAATAACCTTGAATAAGAAAACACTCAAATGTACACTCGAAGAAAAAAATGCAAATAAATATTTTACATAAAAATACGTTTACAGAGTGAAAATGTTAAACCAAATGTTACTTCTCTGTTTTTTAACCCAAACTTGGTAGCAACTAACCAGCACAAAAGAGCATTAAAGCTTGTATGTAAATAATATTCAGGAAAAGTGGAATACATAAATCATCACAAGAATCAATGCCTCAATTATTCTAGCTAGTTGTGAATCACCATTATTTTCTCTTGCTGGTACCACAAAATAAATTTCCAATCACGATCCTTTACAACTGTAGGCATATCAACCTTTGAATTAACTTTTTTTATGATAAAAATGGTTTTAAAAAGCTCAAGCTTAAGAATTTCCGACAACTAGATCAGAACGTAGATTAAGTTTCAAACTGCAGTGGATCTGTTTCTATTTACAATAACTTTTCCCACCATGAAGCATTCTACTTGGAGAAGCCAGATTCAAATCCACTCTGATGGCATCATACACATTATTTAAACCATGATAGTTTGGTGAAAATCACCATTAAAATTGCTTACGATTTATGCCAGATTAATATCTACTTGCCTCTAAAATTTCAAACTCATTGCGAGTGACTCATATACATATATTAATCGATACATTCTATCATACTCAATCAATCATCATTACTTTCGTATACATATCAAATATTGCTTCCTGTGGAATTTAGCTGTTGCTGAGAATCAACAATCTAAAAACTTTACTGATGCCACATCGTCCAGCATGAATCATTCTTTTAGCAAAAGTCAAATTCATTCGAATGGCTTCACTGCCAACAAAGTGCTGACTCATACACACAAAACTTCACTTGGAATACAAGGGTGAGCTATATAATATTGACATAATAACACAGCTCATTTTCCTTATACTTTTTCAGGCACAGATAAAATGGCTTGAAAATCAATATGCCATATATTGCCATAATTCAATCCCCTCTCTCACCAACAAAACCAGAATAAAAGAAGAAATATTATGCTCAACGACTAATGAATACAAAAAGTACATACATAGACGATCTGATGGAATCTTTCTATCTTCAATTATGATCAACCGAGGTATAAAAACGTTAAGACTACAGGAACCTATGCCAAGGTAAGAAAAAAGAAGTGAAAGGCAAAAAGGCATATGAGGATATGAATTTTGCATTGATGCAAAGCACATGAACTGTGGTAACATCTGGATCACCATCCATCTCTACACCACACCTAACAAAAAGTAAAATTCAAAGCCCAATCTGGAAAAGTTGGGGCTAGCAAAATAACAATATATTTTTTTTTCTTATGGAAGAGGAAAAACAAATAAAAGAGCATCTTGACAAAATCCTAAACTCTAAAAACTCAAAGTGCCTCAGCCATGGGTATTAACAGCTTCCCACAACAAATTCTTAGGGACAGGGTTGCTCAAGTCCCTGGCCTGGAGGGCAGCAGTCCTGAGGGTCCTAATTGTCCACTGATTGGCCTCCCAGAATGACAAGCTCCTATAAGGCAAATTATGCTTCTTGCAAAGGTCACTAACCAAAGGTGAAATCTTCCTCAATTGGCACCTAGGTAGCCTTGGAAATAAATGATGCTCAAGCTGGAACTGCAGGCCACCAAAGAACCAATCCATCCAAGAGGAGCAAGAGATATCCAATGTCCCACTTGTCTGCTTCTCAAACCAGTCATTCCCACTAGGTGGCCCAACATATACATTTGCAGCAAAGTGGTTCAGGCAGAACTGAATGTGCTGAATGGAACAAACAGAAAAGCTAGCAAGAACAAACATAACCCTCTCTGGCCAATTTGGTAGGCAAGACACCAAAAGAGGGAACCAAGTCCAGAACACAAGGATCCCCATCAGGTTCAAGGCTCTGTCCTGCACTTTACGTTTTGAAAACAAGAGTAGAATTGTCTGCAAATACAAGTTGACTCTGGCAATGCACATAACCGGGTAAAAAGTAAAATGCTGGTAACAGATCAAGAACCTGGCAAAGTAATCAAACTCCAACTTCCTCCCATAGAAATGAGAAGTTATTGAATTGAAGAAGCGAGAGGACACAGCGAAAACCGGCATGTGCTGCAGATCAGGGTCATGGTCGAGGCTGTTGCAGGCAATGTGGTGAGCATTGTGAGTCCACTTCCACCAAGCAATGCTTATTCCAGTCAAGCAGTTCCCAGAGAGGACCTGTGCAACCTTGTTGTAACCATTGTTTGTCATAACCACATAGTGGCCAGAATCATGACCAACATAAGCACTTTGCATCCAGAGAAGCCCTAGCAGCATGCCTGAGCCCAAATGAGCCCACACACTAGTGCACCTCAACACACCATATAGCACAATGAGGAACATAGCAGCAACAGCTGCGAGGGTGTAGGAAGTGACATGCCCTTTTGTGTCAAAGAGACCCATTTTGGAAAATTCAGATGCGAGCTTTCTGTAGTCCCTGGACACCTCTGAGACCTTGAAATCACTCAGGTAGTAGCCAGTGAAGAATTTGTCAAGGTGTGACCATGCCGTGCCAGGATGGTAAGCTATGAATGCATCTGTGACATCCTGGCCAGCAAGGTTCAAAATGGTAATATCACCGCCAGGGTGCTCCTTCACCCAATCAGACACATTGTACACCTTACCTTGAATGGAGATCCACAAATCCCCCATCTTGTTGTGACCCTTCAGCTCCTCAGAGGTCATGTACTTCTTCTCAGCCTCCATGCTTGTGTTGAACCAGCAAAAACAACACAATGAGAACAACAATAAGAAAATAATATAGAAAGATGAGATAACAACAATAATGGGGTATCTGGTTCTACAATGCAAACAAATTTAAACCCCAGAATCCCCTTTCACTGCAATGGGGTTGTTATTTTCGTTCACGAAAATAACCCCATGGAGAGGGAATTCGACTTGATCTGGTTGAGGATCTAATACCCTTTACCTCTCTCTCTCTCTCTCTAAGTTTTACTGGTGTGTCGTTGTTCTATTGTACTAAGCGATTTTGAACGTTTTAAGGTGCCACCAGCACGTTACAGCGCAAAAAAAAAAGTGTTTTTTTAAAACCTCCTTTTTAATGATACGTTTGTACCACATTAAAGAAATGTTTGAGCGACACGCACATCCATAATCATACACATAACATTCATTTTATTCCTAAACTACCATTTTTTATAATAATAATTAATAGTAGATTATATATAATAGATATGTTGAACTTCTCGATAATTGTTTTTATTAAAAAATATTTTAACTGATTGATAATATCAAATATTTTATATATATAATATATATTCATTAAATCGAAAAACAAATCTTCCATATTCTTCTTTAATTCAAATCGGTTAAATTACTCATTAAATATAAATATATATATTAAGTTTCATCTCTTTTCTTTTTTATATATATTTTGGTCTTCTCTTCTAATCATGTTTTCCTTTTTATTTACAAACCTCATTTTTTTATTATAACATATAGATATGATGTAATGAATTTAAAAATTAAGATTAGTATCTTAAATAAGATCATAAATATTAAAAATTAAATTTTTTTAATATTAACGACATTATATTAATTTGTAATTGTAAACATAAAATTGATTTTATTAAAGCATAAATACAAATTATAAAATTATAGATTTTATGAAACTTCAGCATTTTAACAAAACTTCAAATGTTGTTGAAGAATAATATGAGATAGTATAATTCACTTAAAGTAAAATGACATATTTTAATAATATTTTATAAGATCCTTATGTTATATAAGAGAATAATTCTCCAAAAATTCAGATCACTTTAAAACCTAATTTAATAAATTTTAGATATAATAACTAACAATAAAATATATTTAATTATAATAACTAGATTAAAGGAGCAATTAAACCATTAAATTTTAATTTTTATATATTGATTCTCTTTCCACAAACTCAATAATGTTTGTCAAAATGTTTGACATCAGAGAATAAAATTTTTTATTAGTCGCAAAAGGGAAAATGAAAAAAAAAAAGTTACTCTATAATAAACATAAATGATGTTTATTACCTTGTTAAATTAAAATTACTTTTTTTATTTTAGTTTTGGTCTATAATAATAAATTATAGGATAAAGAAGAAAAAAACATTTAAAAAATGCAGAATTAATATTTGTTTGAAAAGATGAGATTGTTAAGAAGAGAAAATGAAAATAATAATAATAATAATAATAACAGAGCAAAACCACCTCGTTAAGTAGTCGAAAACATGTGGCTGTAACGTGTTCGGTGGGACACCTGAATGCAAGTGGGGGTAATGGTATGAGGTTGTTGCTTCGCTGGATTTTATGAGCCATCTTTTTTTTTTCAGCGGCTAATTCGGAATTGGTTTTTTTACTGTTTATTTGACATGTCAATTTTTCTATTTAGTAATATTTAATAAATATTCTTTTATTGTATCGTTTCATTTATAATATTTATATTCTTTTCATATATATCATTTCAATATAATTTAATATTCAATGTGTTTGGGAATACTTTTCTACCGAACTGGTGGGACCCAACACAAGATATTTTGGGAAAACCAAGAACCTGTGTTCACGTTCACATGAGAAGGGTGGTAGAAGGGTCGGTGTGGGTTCTGGAGAGTCACTACCTTGTCAGCCAAATCACGCATCAATTCCTTAATTTGCACGACTTTTTATTTTTTATTCCTTTTCGAAAAGATGAAAATTCAGAACTTCATTTTTAATGGTAAAAGATCAATATATAATTAATCTTATATATTTTTATTTATTTTATATTTAAAATATTGTTAATCGATTCCTAGTATAAAATGTTACCAATTTCTAATAAAAAATACATGTAATAAATTTGAGATTTATTATCTGTATGATTATAGTGATTTTAATTTAGCTGATGAGTCTATAATATATTTAGAGTGATTTCTATATATGTAATAAAGAAAAAATTCGTTTCAGTAGTAATTATTAGATACAAATATTGAGGATGGAAAGAAGTAATTGAAAACAAAGGTCGTTTAAGACTTATATTTCATATGAATAGTGTGAAAAAAAATTCAATTAAGATGGACAAATATATTATATTTAAAAGAAAAAAAAATATATATATATATATATATATATATATATATATATATATATATATATATATGTGCAGCTTATGTGTAAAAAATCAAATTCAGAATAAGCAAAAAAATAATGGTCAATGATACAAGCAAATAATTTCCTAGATGTATATGAACTAGTTTAATACTTTTCTACGTACAAAAATAAAATTTAGAATTTGTTATTTGTAAAAAATGTAAATTACGTGTTTAACGTATTTTAAATAACTTTAGATTTAAAATGTTATTGTTACTAGTTGAATAGAATAGTAAAATATATTTTCCTTTTTATGAACTATAAGATATACACTACGATTCTTACATACTAAGAAAACTATCAAAATAAAAAGCATAGTTAACATGATAGTTTTAAAAAATATATATTAAAATATTGTAAAAGGTAGAAAATATATACACCAAATTAATTATAAAAATATATCTTGATGTGTAAGTATTGATGAGAAAGAGATATAAAAAATGTTTGTTAATCACGAATTATTGGTAACGAATAACTGAACACTTAGTTTCGCTTTGCTTGATCCGGCGAGTCGGAAGAAATTGATAAAAGTAAATATACACGTATTATAATATAATAAATATAAATAAATATTATCTCTTAATTTTAAATTTTGTGATTTTAAAAATCGTGAATTAAGCTTAATTAAATCATATATAATCAAATTAAAAAAAACTATATCCGTATAATAATTGTTTTCATTTTACTATTGTACCTTTAAATCTATAATAATTGTTTTAGTGTGTTACATGATAACTATTATTTTTAGTGCTGTTTAGAGAATAATGAAAGAAAATAAAAATTTGGGAATTAATCTAATAAATAATATTTAAAATAAAAATTATTTGAATAAAATATCTACCAATTTATTTATTAAATTAAATATATTAATTATTATAAATAAAATTAATTTTTCTAACATAAAATAGCTATTTTTTATTTTTTTTTCACTCATTTTCATTTTTTATCTCTTTATTAACTTTTTATTTTTGTTTCTTCTACTTTATTTCTGAAAACTCTAAGTATGTTTACCATCTCAACTATTAATCTAAACAAATCAAAATTAACATATATACATTTCATACACACTTTAATATAAAGTGACATAATTAAATAACTTAGAATTTAGACACAACTTAAATTTAATTATCACTTTTCAATTATTTTACACATTTGTATTAAACCACAAAAACACGTATTTACACATTATAATTATTGAAAACTTTATATCAAAAGTCTAAAAAAATTACAATATCGAATATATATATATATATATATATATAAATTATTAATGAATAATAATAATAATAAAATATTATTCAAAGTTCATTAAAAAACATAAATTACAAAATAAATTATTTTGTTCGTATAAAATAATAATTACATTACTTATTGAGCTATATACCTAAAAGTACTATATTTTTCATAAAATACCTAAAAGTAAAACAATTTATCTTAATTTTAAACAATTTTTGTTATATTAATTATCTTAAATACATTTGTTTTGTCTACGCTAAGATAATTATAACCAACAATGACTAAAATAACATTTTAAAAAATATTCAGAATATAAAAGTAAAACAAATATTACAAAACTAAATTCAAACAACGTTGTTATAATTGCATCTACTAATAACGTAATTAAGTATTCACTAACTAAATTTGTTTTTTTTATTATTATTAGAAATAATATTTTATAATATTTAAATTTAGTTAATATTACAATATTATTTCTGGTATAAATGAGTTGAGATGTGCTAATTTTTTAAAAAATGAATTATTATTTCAAAATAAATAAATTTATCATTATGTGTGAATTTCTTTTATTTAGGCTTAGATATAAACACTTTTTAATTTAGGAAATTTTTTTAATTATGCATCGATCATAATCACTTAGTTATTATTATAAATTAATATAATATAATTTGTATAAGTGATCTTTTATATATCATTTTGATTTTTAATATAAGTTTTAACATTAAAAGTAAAGAGCCAGAAGATAAACTTATAAAAAGGAAAAAATAATATCTGCAATCAGGAAATTTTTAGAAATTAAGGAGATCATAATCGCAACAAATTTATAACTTATATATATATTTATTATTTTGAGTACTCAAATTTAATAATTATTAAATATACCTATTTATATATTTAACTTCTTTCCTTTTTCATATTTTTTACCTTTTCATATTTTTTTATTATTTATTAATAATATCTTATTTATGTAAATCATTATGTAATTTTTTTATGTTCCTCATTCATTCCATAAAACTATTTTACAAGATTTTTAGATTCATGAATCTCACATAATAACATAAATCATAATAAATAGACTAACATTGTTCAATGAAAGATATATAATGAAAATATGTTATTCAATGTTTTTCTTCTCCAACCTCATTTTTCCAATTTATCTCTTTTTCTTTCTTTCTCTTGTCACACTTTTCTGATAGTTTACTATGAGAAAAACCTCATGGCCAGAGACAAAACTTTAATCCTCTTTATTAATCAAGGTCCATCAAATTGGTTAGTGTAAGTTTTTATTTTATTTTGACTTCTCGTAATAATCAATAGGTCCTTATATTTTATTAAATCACATTTGGGTCTATC